CACTAACCTTTGCAACTTCTCCGAATCTTCCAAAAGCACAATGTCATCAGCAAAATGCAACTGTGACGACTCCCATTTTGTATTAGATTCCACATACAGTGAACCCCTGGATTAAGACCTCATCGGAATAAGTAATATTTGGAATAAGTAATGTTTCTGCGTCAAAATATTGGCTCAGTGAACGTCACTGAACTTGGTATAAGTCATTCGTGTGAACTTGGTATAAGTCATTCGTGTCAGGGCTTGAGCGGCCCCGACACTCCATGTACAGCCAGTGTGCCACTGTTTACCAGCCAGTGAGGACGATCCCACACATTCATACGATACATTTTGTATTATTCCATTCTTTTTAGTGCGTGTAACTGCTAAATAAGCCACCATGGGCCCAAAGAAAGCTTCTAGTGCCACCCAGCCCTTTGGTAAAGGGCTGAGAGAGAGGGGAGAATGTGCCTTTTTCAGTGATTCTGAAATATGTACAATACTAAAGCAACAGGAGTCTATAAAGGCTATAGCACCAGCCAGTGATAAAGTGTAGCAAGTTAAGGGATTAATCGATAGAAAAAGGACAGCACGAAACTGACTCCTCCATTGTTGTTAGAGGTATACAGGGCTACTGACTAACACCGCCACCTCTGCTGCTGCCTTCACCACCACTATGTAAGACTTATCTTTCAGTGGCCCTTACACACCCAACAATAAACAACATACCACCACTCATGACGTTCTTAATGTCATATTTTATTCATTCTAGAGTATATACCATGTTTCTATGTTATTAATATTGTTTATTATGTCATATTAGATGAATTGTGCTAGATAAATAAGCCATAGAGCTGATATTAGTGTCATATTGAAGGACTATCTTGCCCTGTCTCCCAACACAGTTCCTAACATATGCCAGAAACAAGACCTCTCTGGAACACTTTTTTGTGTGGCAGGGGTCCAGTGACTCAAGTTGGTCCTAGTGGCATTAAAAAAACAAAGGAGGGAAGTAACCCAGGATAAGGACTTGGTACCTGAAGTCTTTATGGAAGGGGATTTTCCTTCCAAACAACTGAAAACTCCTCCATCCTCTTCCTTCCTCCCATCTTCCATACATCACTATGTCTTCAATAAAGGTAAGTGTGATTTTTTTTTTATTCTTCATGTATCATTGTTTTATGTGTATGTAAATGTATATTTCATGTAGAAAACCTTTTTTTTTAATACTCTTGGGTGTCTGAAACAGATTAATTGGATTGCCATTATTTCTTATGGAGAAAATTAATTCAGAATAAATCAGATTCGGGATAAGTCGCTCTCTCCAGGACAGATTAATTATGTAATCCGGGGGTCCACTGTATTTTAATCCCATACCTCTCCCCAGCACCCTATCATTCACTTCTTTTGCACTGTCATCTATAAATATGTTTAACAACTATGGTGACATCATGCATCCCTCATCTATCCCTATACATTTATTAAACAAAAGTACCAACCACTCCAAAATTATATCATCCCCCCTGCTCTTAACATTTGTGTCTTGATCCCATCAAAATCCCAGCTGCTATATCCCCTTTTATTTTTCCCACTGTCTCACACACCACCACACATCTGGCTCTTCCTCACTCCTACAGGATGTTATGCCTTCCTGGCCAATGCATCAAATCATTGTCTCCCATTCTTCATTAATATTTAAGAGCTCCTCAAAATATTCCCTCCATCTTATCATTACCTCCGACTCCCTACATGACGGATGAAGAATTAAAGCAATTTTTTGATCATGACACTGATTTTTATTGATGATAATGTATCTATAGGGAAAAATAACAAAGCCCATATGTGAGGCCTGGTCACAGACCGGGCTGTGGGGATATTGACCCCCGGAACCCCCTCCAGGTATATTCCAAGTATGGCTAGTAACTGTTAATACAGTGGAACCTCTGTTTTCGTTTGCCCTGGTTTTCGTCAAATTCGGTTTTTGACGGCTTTTTTCATCAAAATTTTGTCCGTTTTCGTTCATTACCTCGGTTTTCATTGGTCCACTGTACCGAAGATGTCTGCCTGCCCGCACCCACACAAAGCATCCCATGCGTTCAAAGTCACTCTGGCTTTGTTTCTTGTTGAGTGAGCATTACCCTGCATGTTCATCCGAAACATTTCGTAATAATCCACTGTTTTTGTGCTTGTTTATTGAGTGTAACTGCTGAATAAGCTACCATGGGTCCAAAGAAAGTTCCGAGTGCCAGCCCTTTGATAAAGAAAGTGAAAAATTGTGGCCAGAATGTGTCCAAGAGAAGGATTTTGAAAGGTTTGAGGCTGACTCTGACAACCCCATGCCTGTTGTGGAAGCCATTGTGGCTCTGGGGAAGTCCATGGGGTTGGATGTGAGTGGCCAGGATGTGGAAGAGTTGGTGGAAGACCACAGGGAAGAGCTAACCACTGAAGAGCTGCAACACCTTCAACTGGAACAGCAACAGATTGCAGCCGAGGAAATTGCTTCAGAGGAGGAGGAAGAGAGAGGGAAGAATGTGCCTTTTTCAGTGATTAAGGACATGTGCGCAAAGTGGAGGGAGTTGCAAAGTTTTGTGGAGAAATATCACCCTAACAAAGCTGTTGCAAGCCATGTCTTCAACATGTTCAATGACAATACTTTGTCCCATTTTAGGCAAATCTTAAAGAGATGCCAGAAACAGAACTTTGTGAACAGATTTTTTGTGCAACAGGGGTCCAGTGCCAGAAAAGACAAAGAAGGGAAGTAACTCTGGATAGGGACTTGATACCTGAAGTCCTTATGGAGGGGGATTCCCCTTCCAACCAATAACCTCTTGTCCTCCCTCTCCTCTCCTCATGTCTTCCATATGCCAACAAGAGTCATCAATAAAGGTAAATGCGATATTAAATGTTCATTTATCCATTTCATTAGTCCTTGATATTTATTTCTCATTGTTTTCTGTATGTAAAACTATAGTTATTCTCTATAAAATGTATTTTTTGTTAATACTTTTGGGTGTCTGGAACAGATTAATTGGTTTTACATTATTTCTTATGGGAAATATTGCTTCAGTTTTCATCAAATTCAGTTTTTGTCAGAATTTTGGAACGAATTAATGATGAAAACCAAGGTTCCACTGTATCACTACCTACACACTGCTATACCATTAGCAGTTATTCACTTACTCTAGCTGCGTTTACACAAATACCGAACATGTTAATGATTGATATTAAAGTATGGAAAATACATTAGTAAACAAAAATGTGAAGGGATACTCTTGTGGCACTGCCATGATAAATGTGTCTCTGAAGGTCATAGAACCACCACAGTATACACCATTTAGTTTACTTGGTTATTTCTTTCATACCAATTGATACATGGTGTTTTCACACACTTTGCACAGACCAGTAGGCCTGTTGCAGTGTTCTTTCTTATGTTCTTATCAGTGCTAAAATGTGAGGATACTGGAGACAGTTTATATACAAATTGAGAGGGACTCCAAGATTTATATATCCTTTACTTCCTCTTGTTTGAATTACAAAGCTCTTAAAAAAATATGGTTTGCTTTTTTGGAGGGGTTTAATGAACATAACCTTAATTTGCCCTATATGTTCTTCATTTAATTTTAGACGATTTTTTAACAAGATGGCATTTTCAGGAATGTAATTGTTGTCTTAACTGATAGCAATCTGTATATGTGTATTTTTTTTTTTTAACGAACCAGCCATATCCTGCCTAGGTAGGGTGACTTAAAACTTAAAACAAAAGATTTTCCTCTTATGACACTCATGGCTTACAGAAGAAGAATTCTTTTCCAATTCCCCATAGAGAACCATATACAGTAGTACCTCAGTACTTGAACTTAATTCATTCCAGAAGGCTGTTCAAGTGCCTATCTGTTCGAGTACCGAATGAATTTTATCCACCAGGAATAATGCAAATTGGATTAATTCATTTCAGACCCCTAAAATACACGTACAAAAGCATTTTAATACGAAGTTTACAAGCCTAGCATGCTTTCAACACTTCACTACCCGTATCAGCACTTGTTCCAGGAATGTTTTTCAAGAGATCAGAGTGCAGATGTTTTGCTTTTTCTCAAATGAATGTCTCAGAAACACTATCACTAGCTAACTGTTTATCACTTATCCAAATCAATAACAATTTCTCAACCTCTTCAATTGTTTGTGGTCTTTCTTTCATAACTGCTTTCACTCCTTTTGCAACATCAGTCTTTTTAATGGCCTCTTTATTTTTAAGTTTTGTAGAGATTATAGATTTTGCCATACAAAACTCGGTAGCAACATCAGACACACAGGCACCGCTTTTACATTTCGTTATGAGTTCTTTTTTCATCTCTATTGTGACTAACCACTTTTCTTTTTGGTTGGCTGTTATCACTAATTTTCTTAGGCCCCATGGTAACTTACTTGTACAAATATAAAAAACACCAAAAAATGCAAATAAATGCAAAACAGTTTACAGCGAAGTTCTGGCAGGTCATGTTTGTTTGGTCGAGTGCCAAGAACACAGTCAACTACTGAGCGATTTTTTTTACAGAACAAAGCGTTCGAATACCGAATTGTTCAAGTTGGGAGCTGTTCAAGTACCAAGGTAAGATAAGATAAGATAAGATTTCGTTCGGATTTTTAACCCCGGAGGGTTAGCCACCCAGGATAACCCAAGAAAGTCAGTGCATCATCGAGGACTGTCTAACTTATTTCCATTGGGGTCCTTAATCTTGTCCCCCAGGATGCGACCCACACCAGTCGACTAACACCCAGGTACCTATTTGCTGCTAGGTGAACAGGACAACAGATGTAAGGAAACGTGTCGAATGTTTCCACCCGCCGGGAATCGAACCCGGGCCCTCCGTGTGTGAAGCGGGAGCTTTAGCCACCAGGCCACCGGGCCACACTGTACTGCTGTATATAGATATTACAAGTAATTTATGTGTAAACATAACAAAAAAAATATGCACACTGATGCACGACAGCCAAATTATAAAAATATTTAAAATACTGACCAAAACCATCAGGAAGATCAGGTGGTTGATGAAGCTGGTTTCGGGAAAGGTAGTGTCGATGCCGTGCAGATCGTCTCCGAACTGAGTCTGGATTTCTTCTAGATTCACCAGCATCTCTCTGACTGACTCGCTCAATACTTGCTGCTCTACTCCTTCTATGCTCCCTGTCCCTCTCCCTGGGATCCCTGCAACCATTCAACAAGAGTAATTACAGTCACTTGTATGAAATAGTGATGCGAGAATCTTGAGTTGATAAATAAAATTATCTACATTTTTTATGGGGGTCTGGGTACTATCCAATCCATTCAGAGATGTATAGTGTGATTTTAATACAACACACACTTGCAGTCTAATAAATTGATGCACAGTAACATATTTACCAACCTCTACATGTCAAAACAAGCACAGTACTCCATAAGCTTTCCCAAGTACTTTTTATACAGACTACAAACAAAAAAATAATGTAATTGATAAAATGTTATGTTCAAAGTTTACACATGATGTGAAGAGTGATGGTTGTCACAAATATGCTATTTAAGAACAGTAAAAAGTGACCTATCTACATCAGTCTCAAACTCATCTAAATGAAACATTACAGTTACAATAAGCTTCATGTGACGTACAGCCACTAAAACAATACAGGTACCATAGACTACACTATTAATTATCAGGTATGCTTAAAAACAGGCTTGTAGATGTATTCATATATAATAAAAAGCATATACTATAGAGTGAAGAGTATAACAAACAGAATTTGAACATTACTTGAGTGTTTAATAAATGTCCATTATGTTCACTAGATGTAAGAGGAAGCAATCAGCCAACAACATATGTACAACAGTGCAAGAGAAATATGATACAAACAAGAAAAATGATAATCATTGAAAGTTTGTGTTAAGATAATATATGACTGCATACAAACTCAAAAAATATTAGTTCACCCTTAGGTGCATCAACAAAATAAATTAATAAATAATAAAAGAATACAAAATGAGTAAAGAGATGTCAACTATTGCATCTTTCATGAAGTGATCTAAGAGAAGTCTTGCATCCAACTGTGTAAAAGCATCTTACATAAATATTTTTTATCAATATTTCTCTACGATTACATTTCTTACAAAACTTGAAACATTAATATTTTAATGTCTAAATGGTACAATTAGAAACCTGCATTTAAAGTGGCACAACATATCCACCTAATAAGCTCATAAATGGTGTCTGTATTTTGTATATATAGTGCTTTAACAACATCACAATGTTATAGTACTTTTTACTGCTAAAACAGAGACAATTACTCTACCATAACAGTAGTAGGTTGGTAAACAGCAACCACCCAGGGAGGTACTACCATCCTGCCAAGTGAGTGTAAAATAAAAGCCTGTAATTGTTTTACATGATAGTAGGATTGCTGGTGTCTTTTGTCTGTCTCATAAATATGGAAGATTACAGGTACGTCTTGCTACTTCTACTTACACTTAGGTCACACTAAACATACATTTTTTTTTTTTTTTTTTTTTTCAACAAGTCGGCCGTCTCCCACCGAGGCAGGGTGACCCAAAAAAGAAAGAAAATCCCCAAAAACAAAATACTTTCATCATCATTCAACACTTTCACCACACTCGCACATTATCACTGTTTTTGCAGAGGTGCTCAGAATACAACAGTCTAGAAGCATACACATATAAAGATACACAACATATCCCTCCAAACATACATGTACATGTTTATTTATACACACTCTTCTGAGTTTTCTTTGATTTTATCTTAGTTCTTGTTCTTATTACTTTTCCTTTTATATCCATGGGAAAGTGGAATGAGAATCTTTCCTCCATAAGCCATGCATGTTGTAAAAGTCAACTAAAATGACGGGAACAACGGGCTAGTAACCCCTTTTCCTGTAATAATTACTAAAAAGAATAAGAAGAAGAAAATTGTCAAAGTGGGAAGTTTGAATGTGCATGGATGTTGTGCGAATGATAAGAAAGAGATGATTGTGGATGTTATGAATGAGAAGAAGCTGGATGTCCTGGCTTTAAGTGAAACAAAGCTGAAGGGGGTGGGTGAGATTCAGTGGAGAGGAATAAATGGGATTAGGTCAGGGGTTTCTAATAGTTAGAGCTAAAGAAGGAGTAGCAATAATGTTGAAGTATTAGTCAGAGAGCTGAAGAGGGTTTGTTGAGGTGGTTTGGTCATTTAGAGAGAATGGATCAAAGTAGAATGACATGGAGAGCGTATAAATCTGTAGAGGAAGGAAGGTGGGGTAGGGGTCGTCCTCGAAAAGGTTGGAGGGAGGGGGTAAAGGAGGTGTTGTGGGCGAGGGGTTTGGACTTCCAGCAAGCGTGCGTGAGCATGTTAGATAGGAGTGAATGGAAACAATGGTATTTGGGACCTGACGAGCTGTTGGAGTGTGAGCAGGGTAATATTTAGTGAAGGGATTCAGGGAAACTGGTTTTATATAACAGTACTCAAGTCCTGGAAATGGGAAGTACAATTCCTGCACTCTAACGGAGGGGTTTGCGATATTGGCAGTTTGGAGGGATACATTGTGTATTTTTATACGTATATACTTCTAAACTGTTGTATTCTGGGCACCTCTGCAAAAACAGTGATTATGTGTGAGTGAGGTGAAAGTGTTGAATGATGATGAAAGTATTTTCTCTTTGGGGATTTTCTTTCTTTTTGGGTCACTCTGCCTCGGTGGGAGAATGCCGACTTGTTGGGGAAAAAAAAAACAGTTGGAGGGAGGGGGTAAAGGAGGTTTTGTGGGCAAGGGTCTTGGACTTCCAGCAAGCATGCTTGGACTTCCAGCAAGCATGCGTGAGCATGTTAGATGGGAGTGGATGGAGACGAATGCTTTTTGGGACTTGACGAGCTGTTGGAATGTGAGCAGGATAATATTTTGTGAAGGAATTCAAGGAAACCAGTTAGCCAGACTTGAGTCCCAGAGGTAGGAAGTACAATGCCTGCACTTTAAAGGAGGTGTTTGGAATATTGGCTGTTTGGAGTGACATCTAAACTGTCATATCTGAGCACCTCTGCGAAGACAGTGATCATGTATGAATGATGGTGAAAGTGTTGAACAAGTTTTTTTCTTTCTTTTTGGGTCACCCTACTTTGGGAGGAAATGGCTGGTGTGTTAAAAAAAAAAAAAACAGTAACATCTAGCTATTCCCCAAAATTTAAATGAATTCAGTAGAAATACAATGTGGGGTACAAGAAAAAATAGTGGCAGAACATTTCATTGATTTGCTTAAAAACAGTCACTGAAAATATCACAAGCAAAGAAGAAAACTCACAATTTCCAAGTCAGTCTCCTTTGATGACTAATATTATATGATCTACCTGATATTCATTTTATGTATTAAATTACCATTATCCTCTCAAGTATGGGTTGAATTTAGACCTATAGGGTATCAAGATTTTACATTATTAAGTACCAAACTATAATTCATCTGAAATTTTTATATAGCCTCTCCTCATTTAGCGACGTACTCGTTTACCAATGACTCAGACTTACAACAGGCTCTCTGACCAGTATGCATACCTAAATAATGTATATTAGAGTTGACTTCCTCTATTCTGTTTATTACAATATAGAGCACACTACTGTATAATTTTTTATTTTCAACATGCCAGTTGTCTTCCACCGAGGCAGGGTGACCCAAAAAGAAAGAAAATCCCAAAAAAGAAAATAGTTTAATCGTTCAACACTTTCACCTCACTCACATAATCACTGTTTTTGCAGAGGTGCTCAGTTTAGAAGCATAAACGTATAAAGATACACAACATATCCCTCCAAATTGCCAATATCCCAAACCCTTCCTTTAAAGTGAGGGCATTGTACTTCCCATTTCCAGGACTCAAGTCTCCCTAACCAGTTTCCCTGAATCCCTCCACAAAATATTACCCTGCTCATACTCCAACAGCTCATCAGGTCCCAAAAACCATCTGTCTCCATTCACTCCTAACTAACATGCTCACACATGCTTGCTGGAAGTTCAAGCCCCTTGCCCACAGAACCTCCTTTACCCCCCTCCCTCCAACCTTATCCAGGATGACCCCTACCCTGCCTTCCTTCAACTGCAGATTTATACGCTCTCCAAGTCATTCTACTTTGATCCATCCTCTCTAAATGACCAAACCACCTCAACAACCCCTCTGATTAATACTTTTATTAACTCCACGCCTCCTAATTTCCACACTCCGAATTCTCTGCATAATATTTACACCACACATTGCCCTTAGACAGGACATCTCCACTGCCTCCAGCCACCTCCTCGCTGCAGCATTTACAACCCAAGCTTCACACCCATATAAGAGTGTTGGTACAACTATACTTTCATACATTCCCTTCATTGCCTCCATGGATAACGTTTTTTGTCTCCACAGATACCTCAACACACTACCTTTTTTCCTTCATCAATTCTATGGTTAACCTCACTCTTCATAAACCCATCCACTGACAAGTCAACTCCCAAATATATGAAAACATTTACTTCTTCCATACTCCCTCTCTCCAATGTGATATCCAATTTTTCTTTATCTAAATTGTTTGATACCCTCATCATCTTACTCTTATCTATGTTCACTTTCAACTTTCTACCTTTACACACCCTCCAAAACTCATCCACTAACCTTTGCAACTTTTCTTTACAATCTTCCATAAGCACAGTATCATCAGCAAAAAGTAACTGTGTCAACTCCCATTTTGTACTTTATTCCCCATAATTTAATCCCACTCATCTCCCCAGCACCCTAGCATTTACTTCTATTACAACTCCATCTATAAATATATTAAACAACCATTGTGACATTACACATCCCTGTCTAAGACCTACTTTTACCGCGAAGTAATCTCCCCCTCTCCTGCATACCCTAACATGAGCCTCACTATCCTCATAAAAACTCTTTGCAGCATTCAGTAACTTACTACCTATTCCATACACTTGCAACATCTGCCACATTGCTCCCCTATCCACTATCATATGCCTTTTCTAAATCCATAAATGCAATGAAAACTTCCCTATCTTTATCTAAATAGTGTTCACATATACGCTTCAATGTAAACACTTGATCTACACATCCCCTACCCACTCTAAAGCCACCTCTAATTCTTTCAATAATAACCCTACTGTACACTTTACCTGGTATACTCAGTAAACTTATTCCCCTATAATTTTTACTC